TAATAAAAACTCGTCATAATTGAATATAAGTTTAATTTTTAGATTTAAAATAATATTTGATCAATTGTAGTCGTGGTAGTTCCAATAACATTGCAGCATTACGAGTATACAATTCGGAAGCCCTATTATTGCAAGCTGTGAAACGTGAACTATAGTGGTATACCGCCAATACGCGTCTCTATAGAATTGACAGTTGTAAATTAAAATTTAACAAACTCAATTCAAATATAATTAAAAAAAAAAAAATCATTGCAGCGCTTTGAATAATCAACAACAGATATTTACCTACTGATCATTTTTAAAGTACCTACCTACAGAAAGTATATCGTTCAACTTTAATGGTAATTCAACGTATCGATGTTATTATAATCTAGGCATTATAAGCAACATTATCTCGATGTATGTATTGTTTTTGATAGTATTTAAATCTAATTTAAAACGTCTATTACGGCACTATAATCTTCCCCGCATGTGATGATACGGTGCGTATTGTTATCGAATTTATAATCAAATCAATAGTATTATTATGCTAAATAGTAATTAATGCATAGTCGGTTATATGAAATGTAGTAAGCACTTGTGAATATATAACTACGGTGGGATTTAAAGATGTTTTGCGAAGATGCGAAATCATCTAACACTACATCGCTGAGTAATGAAAATATTTTGCGCCGCTATATGGTTGATGTTTATAAATTTTACACTGCCACTACCACACGTTTGTCACTTTCAAGTTTCAACAGCGCCTTCAAAGTGCGTTTGCCGCAGCCGTGTACATAAAAATATTATTATACATATTGTTGACTGTTTTTCTTAAGGTCGTTATAATATTATAATATACGAGTGCAGTATCGCTTTAGAAAACGACACGAAACCGTGACAATCGTCACGCAAGTGCGTATATGTTATGTCGGAATTTTATTGTTTTATTAATGCGAACAAACCATCTCGTCTCGTTATTGTTTTAATATATTATTATTATTATTATTATTATTATTATTATTATTATTATCGTATTCGCACCAGCGGTGCCGGCGGCGAGCGATATAATAATAATAATATTATAACCATGTTCCACTGCAGCAGCCGGCTAGCCGCCGTTTCCAAGCACCTTTTGATTTATTTATATGCTAATGAGACCGGAGAAAGTCTCGTGGTATTTTTTTTTTTTTTGTGTTTTAAACATTTTCTTGAGACAAATCCGCCATGTGCAGGTAAATGGTTTTAATGAGACGTAAAAAGTATTATAATATAAGAAATACTCTCGTCGTACAGGAAAACGACTCATACTTTCATATAAACACGGCATGATAGCGGGATTGCAGATGTATACTTATGCGCACAGATATTGTTGGGACGATAAGAACACGTTGAGCGATCGTCACGGAAAATGTCGCTTTGTTTACACGTGTAGTTTACCATTTTTCCCTTGTTATTACTAGCCAATTTTAGTGAATTTGCCGTGATCGGTAATAAAATATGCACAATGTTGTACTACGGACAACTGAAATTTGTTTAATCCTTAAATGCATTTTCAGTGGCGCCAGTATACCAACACAACTATATTCAAGTTTTTATACGACATATTTGGTGGAATTACTGATACGTTAGTACTCATCACGTTATTTAATTTCACAGTATATATAGAATATAGATACAAATACACAAACTATGCATTTGAACTGCACCAGCCGATGCAATTCGCTGCAGTAGTATATCTAATATTGTAATATGCATCGATCACGTATTTATCAAATACCAAGATAAACGTATTCTTCGGTAGCTCATATACTTTTATATTCAATTTTATATGAATATCCAACACATATATAATATTGTAATATTATAGATACACTTTGCCTACTACGCGTGTAAGATCGTTTTGAAATTTCCTCAATATAATATACTTAAATAATATCTATCATAATATAGATGATAATATTATTACGTCGACCTAAAAAGTATATGATGTTTTTATGTAAGCTATCTTGCACAGATGCGATACAAATACAATACTCAAATAGAACGTGTTTATATAATATGCGCAGATCTATTATTAAACCCATTTAGGTATAGAACTTTTTAGACCGTAAACAACTAATAAACGATATTTTAAAATGAAAATATTTTTGTAACCGTTATCCCTGTTTATTTGACATACCTAAAATTCGTCCGAAGATTATAGTTTGGTTATTATTAATATTATTCATCACAGATGTAAGATTGATTTTATACATTTTATGTGTATTTCTTTAAGTTACTATAATCTCTAATTCCAAAAACCCTATTCAAAAAAACAGTGGCATCTATACAAATATAATACAATCAGTACTTATATTATACAGGCTTATTCAAAATTATTTAGCTAGTTTTAATAGCTATATATTTGAAACTTAATATACGTAAAATACATCCCATTTTATTTAAATACATACTATTTTTAATTTAGCATATCTATTGTAATTCACTGTGCCAATTTTTAAATTCCTCTGTGATTGATGTTAACAGTAGTACGTACACAGTATCAAAACATATCTCCAAAATTAGTAGGCCATATGATGTAAGACCAGGTAAACTATGAAACCGTGTACCAAACACTAAATTAATTATTTTGAATAATCTTGTATATTTAGTATTTATATAATTTAAATTTACGACTAAATTTATATTTTTATTTATTAAAATACGTCTTTTGACAATTAAACTGCGTGATATTATGTCATTTTTTTTTTCTTTTATAAGTCGATATGATTTTAAAACGAATTTTTATTTGAAGTTTTTAATAGCTTAAATTTTTTTAATTATTTCAATTATCATGTTATTTTTTTAAACATTTTTAAAACAATTATTTTTAAGTTATTTACTTAAATATGAGAAAAAAAATGTATACTCTTACATAAAATTTGAAGTAATTCAATCTTAAAGCAAATTATTTGTATGCAAAATATTAAAATTTAATAATACTATGTACTCATAAGTCAGAACTCGCTTAATCAACATACCTTTAAAAAAAATTATTGTACAGATACAGATTTCGGCTTATATTCTTACTTAATACTTTTGTATTTGATCTCCAATCAATACCCTTAATTATTTAAGCAAAATAACATAAAATTGATTCTGTTTAATTCAAATTTGCTGTTTTACCACGTTAGGACTTAGAAGGCAATACATTATATAGATGGACGTCATATTAAAATAAATTATTTAGTTGTACTCAAAACATTCTAATGTTAAATTTAAGTGAGTAATATTGCCAAAAGTATTTGAAACACACTATACAATTCTTATAACAAAATAGTATTATAAGTTATAATTTATTAGATACTAGCTATATTAACTTATTTTTCCATAGTTAATAGGTATAATTAATCTATCTTTTAATCGTTTTATGTTTTTCTTCAATAGAAAAATATGATTCAAATACAACAATTACAGTGATTAGTTTTATAAATTTCCACATCTTATTCAGAAAATATATTTTTTATGTAAACACAAAAACTTAGTATAGATTAACGGAATACTTTGAGCCAACATAAATCCATATCGCTAAAATTGCTATTTGTGTTAATATATTAACATCAAAAATATGTTTTAGAATTAATTAAGACAACCATGAACGCATATTATAAAAGTAATTATTTTAATAAAATTTTTTACATAAGTATTTGTTTAAAAAAAAATATATTTGTAAACATTTTTACGGTTCTACTAGTTATAATAGTAAATTTAGCCTGTCAAATAACAACTATTTAAATACACAAATAATATTTTATTAATGTGATTCAAAACTAAACTTAAGCATAAGCCACTCTATAACAATTTATAGGAGTTTTAATAATAAGTTATATCCATCCTATACGACTTAAAAAATCTATTAATATGAATTTTATTGAAAACAGTTTTGGAGTTTTTAAGTCTATATAGAAGACAAACAAAGAAACATTTAATTTTATATGCATAGATAAGACTTATTATATAATAAATAGAATATAATGTGTCTGTTTAATTTTCAAATATTTTGGCAATTTAATGTATTCTAAGTATATGTTGCATTAAAATGTGTTTTATATTTGACTTATATTTATTATTGTTTAAATATTTAAAAGCCCTCGAAATACATCTAGCATTGGAACTATAGCCTAGATAAATATTCTCGTACTTTTATACGTACCTATGTATTACTTGTAATAATAGAGAATCTTCCAGTCAAAATTGCAATCGGGAGTTCCACAGCAGACTGCTTTAGTATAGGCGGTCAATATAATATATAATTCACCTAATTCCGTTTGCTGTACAATATTATAATAATGCTAATCAAACCGTGTTATTATAATTATTATTAATAGTTTATGCTTCTCCAGTATAACAGTAATAATTGTAGGTATATACTAACAAAATATATAATCGTACTTTGAGTGCCTGCTAGTACAGAAATCCCATAACGCACGTACCGATCGCGTACCACCTATTTATTAACTGTACTATATGTATACCTACCTGATTTTTTAATTACTCGAAACCTGTTTTGTGATTTTCTCACTACTTTTTATAACCGTATATTATTATATGCGTGCCTATTGTAATGTTATATATTTTTTTTTTATTTCTCGGGACAGTGTGTATTATTAGTATTTACTACTCTTGCACAGTGGTAGGTGTACGCTGCAAGATGTTGAGTGACGATGCTCGGCTAAACGATACAGGGGACGCATCATCGTGACTCCGAGTACCAGCTGTAGCAGAATGTGCTATTAAAAACATAATAATAATATTATAGCCGATATAAACGAGCGTTTAGATTGTAGGTCATTTTCGTCAGGTCCGGATTCCTCGTGTAAAGTGCAATAAACTTAATTTCTGTTATTTGATATTTCACTGTATAATATTATATGCCTGGTCAAAGAGAGAGAGAGAGAGAGAAACAAATGATATTCCATCACGAGACGTACCTATATGTTGCGCGACCGTACATTTATTTATTTATTTTATTCTTTCAGACGCGGTTTAATGGATATTGACGCACATAATTCAGACGAGCCAAGTCGGTGCACGATGTACCAAGTACGTAAATCGATGATAATATTGTTATAGGTACACGTCCTAATCCAATTATCGTCAAAAAATAATAAATAAATAACAATATGTAAGAAAATTCACAAAATCATCGATGGCCTGCAGGTCACGGTAATAAATCTATAAGACGAGATAAAGTCGCGGCGTTTATTTATTCGGATAGAAAAACAGTTTGTCACGACAAACCTCGTGTACATTATAATATTTAACTGGTAGGTACATCTAAAAATAATAATGTTAATAACGATAAATAATTATATTATAATATACTGTCGCATCGACATGTAAATTAGCTACGAAAAGCAATTAGTATAATATTATAATATGCATATTTTTTTTTAAATTACCCGAAGCGTCGTCATGCGTTTTCTCCGTGAAAATCCACACAGGATTTTAAAATGCAGAGGGCATAGCGGTTTATTTATTAATTTTTTTATACAGCCGTCTGATTTTTATAATATACGTACACCATACCCCTACACCTAAATACAATAATATTAATAATGCTATGCGGATTTCTATTATATGTTAATTTTGGTACTATCTATGGACATACATTGTGTTTATGCGTGCGGTGCTCAGCCGCTGTACCACTTGATACGTATGACCGGTTTTCGGCTAAGCAAAATGTTATGTTTGTTGCCGAAACGAATAATGTTATTATATTATGATAATAATATGGTCGCAGTTGCCCGTATGGATATTACGATTAAATGTGACACGCCACGGCATATTTGTTATTTGATTTCAAAACTGTTATAACTACTCGAATCCGGCCGGTTCTATAACGTAAAATACTGTTGGTACAAGCACGATGCAGGAACCAAATTTTCGATTTTTTTTTTACAAGTTACAACCAATTGGATTAATTCCAAAACGTTAAGAATCTTGTCGGCTAAATTTAAAAAGTTTAATACTTAGGTATGTAGCCACCGTATCATCATAAATTATAATGATTAAGATCGTAAATTTATCATCTTAGGTCTCGCAATGATCCGCCTTAAGTATTCGTATTAATTCACACTAAAATTAAATTTTCGAAAAAAAAAAAATCAAATTATAAATACTATTTGTAACGGTTTCTTAATTACTATTTATGTTTTTGATGAAAAAACATACTAAATAAGCATAGCTAATTATTTCCTGCGTGAAGCTGTATGTGTGGTTGAAATAGATGACTGATGTTTTTGTAAATACTTCTTATTTTGTAACAAAACTATATATATATATATTATGAATATGTATACCTAATACGTACATAATAGTTTAAAAACGCGCTTTCCAATTGAAGAGATTTGTTTAAAATAAATAATTCGTAGTTTTGAGTTCATGAATTACAAAATTGCTATTGACTTATTCACATTGCAGTTTCAGATTTGAACACTGGTGGGTTCACCATTAATTCACATTAGTTAAAAATTTAACGTGCGATTCACTAAGATAGGTATACTATTGAAAGTTATTATTTTTTTTCTTCATATTATGTTTGTGTTTTCAAATTCAAGTATATTTTATACAAAAAAAAATGTATTAGTAAGATTCCTTAAAATAATTTACAACGTTACTTACGATTCATTTTATGACCATTTATAATCAATTATGCATCTGTATTGTAAAATACAAATACTTGAGTAATGATAAATTCATAACTTAGATTAAGTTTCAATAATGTTTAACTTAAATACCAACTTAATATAGTTTTACTTACAATCAAATAACCGAAAATAACTATATAATAGTTTAATACTACAACTAAATTATCCATGTAAATATTTACTAACATTAAAATTGTCATTGAAAGATAGATTAAGGTGTTCGAACAAACAATAAAATATAAATTACTCACAGAAACTAATGATAAAAAAATAAATATTTTAATGAACGCCCTCAGCCGCTTTATTTATGAGTTTGACGAATTTAACATTATTGAAGGCTAACAGAGAAGTACGTACAATAATAATGCACGATGAAAATTGTTAGTTTTTTCTTTCATTGAAACTGTTGATTGTTAGTACTAGACATGAGGCCAAATGAATAACGAGAAAATTTCGTGAGGACTGAGGACAATGTCAGCAGCTTCTTGTTAAAAAAAAAATATATTAATAATAGAAATGTACTTACCTCTAGAAATTAGGTCACGTTTATGGTTATGTATGTATTTACCTGCGCCAGAGGAATTAGACCAGTGAAATAATTATTAAAGGGTCATAAAGTGTTCTAACGATTAAGTTTCAGAAAATAGTCTCAAGGGTTTTGGCAGGCGTGTCGTATAGGCAATTCCGGTACACAAAGGAGTGCACACATCCCGAACACAGTTTATTAGAAGTCCCTAAACGCGGCACTATACAATTCAAATAAAATAGATTACTGTGATAAAATATGTTTGTATATGATTTTAATAGAAAGTTACCGAAATTCATTCCTAAGTAAATTGCAATAACAAAAATAATTTGATCTTGCCAATCCATTGTCAAACAATTTAAAGTATTCAACTACTTTTAATATTATAATTTAGAATAGTTGCACCTAACACAGAAATTCAAATATTGGAGTTTCATTAAAAATATAGAAAACTGAATCGTATAGATGGAAGTTATATTGTAAATACTGTTATACAGTTTTAGTCACTAAATTTATTTTAAAAGTTAATCCCTGATTTGAATAAATGAAATATTAGTATCTGTTATACACAAGCGAGTAAATTATCATTTAGTGAAAACCCGGGCGTTAAAATTGGATCCTGTTTTATTAATAACAAAATCAATAAAATGACCGTGGATATTTTATTTTTATAATTTTTATAACGGACTATAAACCGGATAGATTGACATCAACAATAAATTAGGTTTATTTTGTTGTCGTGATTGCGTTCCTGGTTAGCGCGGGGCTTCAAATGTATGTTTACTAAATACTGAATACGTTGTCCATCTAAAAATAAAAAATAAATAAATAAAATAGTTAGCTATTGCAAATCACTAGTTACAGTGAAGCTAAGGTTTAACTACGACATGTGTTATAAACATAGCGTTATATATATTGTAATATTATACGCGAACACGAGTAGAAAAGAAATACGTTCGTTTTAAAATGCCTTCTTAACCTCAATATATTAATGACGAATATACGCTGGTCATTTCGTATTGGACCGATATTTATTATATTCTCAGCACAATGAATGCAATTTATTATTTATTTTCTCTCGTTTATTAGTTTTGCCTCCCGACAAAACTAGAGTTCAATTTTTCTTTTTAGATTAAATCATTAAAACTATTTATTTTTTTTTATGGTACCAATTTGCTATAAAGACATAAAGACACAATACCTAGTATATACATATTATATGTTACATGTATGGTGAACTACGATAATAATGACTTGTTTACCACTTGGTGAGTGCAGCAGCGGCGGAAAGAGGACGCGACTGTCACATTGTGTGTAAAACGATATAGGATGAATTACAATAAAATTATTTTCACCCACTGATTGTCAAAATTACAACGGGACCTATACACGTATATTATATAATTTATACATTGGAGTGTGTAGTTACTATATACACAAGATATATTGTATTATGAGAAAATGATTATTTTTATTCACATATACTCGTGTTTTTAAATGTTTAGTATTTTTTGTAAGATAAATAATGAAACTAAAATGTGAAAACACGCTGTAGAAAATAATGCACCATAATAATAATTGTATTAATGTAATACATATAATCTAACGTGATAGTTATTAAAGTCATTAAGGAAGTAAACGTTTACGATCCGTTATCAAACAATACGTATTACGTGAATGTGTACATATTTTATATGCTTGTGATACGATTTCTGAAGAATAATTTAATGCAACTGCACAACAGAATACAAGAAAACAATCGAACTTGTCGAAATTATATGGATAATTATATGACGATGATAATTCAAATATAGTATAATATATACAGGATTATCAAAGATAAATAATATTATTCTGTTTCAAAGGTGATCGGCGTGGTGTATAATATGAAACCCGTGATGTCTGCAATCGATGAGAATATAATGATAATGTTTCGACTGCGTATGTTCAAACAGATAATGATATTATTGTAATATTTGATGACACCTACGACACTAAACTTATATATCTGTAGAGTCATATTGTTATTATTAAACGGTGTACGCATTTGATTTATTCTCAAAAAATATAGATCTAATGTTATTCTATTATATTATGCCACGGTGTCACACGTCTTTTTGATACATACATCATTTGTGAATTGACTCAGTGGTGTACATTAGACCATTTCTATAAAGGGGATTTCCGATATCCGGATTATCACAAAAGAGCGCATAGTATATAGTTATATGATATTTGCAATAATAAAAAGAATATCGTTTCAAGTGGGAAATCACATTGCTACCAACATACTTACAGTAATGAATTGTATGGTTGTTAGTTGTTACTATTGATCACAGAATGTTCTTGTACTAGTTCCGTTCCAAATGATTATAACTAGAGTATCATCTGGCCCCAGTGTGGGCGGTAAGTTTGGTTTTTTATGATCATCAACATTGGTATTAATTATTTAAAATTAAATATTTTTCAAACAACAATTTTGCAATATCATCGATAGATAGAGATTATCAAGTGTAACTGAAGTGTCATATTTACGGTACTTATACCATCATAATATTCTCAGGCACATGGATTGGAAAATTTGAACGGAATGCACCAAATATGTAGAACCGAAGTCTTATAAATAATGTATTGTCGTTTTATATTGGATGCTATGATTATTATTATAATACAGTGTTGTACACACACACACACATATATATATATATATATATATATATATAAATATATATTGATAGATAGATACAACGTTCAAATCGGATGCGATCATTAATAATATATTTTCATAACACATAATATTTGATTGACGAAAACGGTTTCGAATAACTGTCGGGTATATCCATATACCGTGCGCTATAATAATATAA